ACTGCAGCTTTGCATCTTATTTTACACATTACAATCAAAAGAGGAAACATATGTGGGTTACATGAAATCCGCTGGTGATAGATTAGGGAGACAGGAGAAAGCAAAGCAGGGAAACCTCTGGGATTGGATAAAAAAAATAAAATGATAAACACGTACTTCTTTTACATAAGTGGATATAGGATAGTTAACAGTCAACAATAAACTTAATGACAATGAGGGGATTTGTGGTCTCAATAGAGCAGTGCCTGTGCTTTGAGGGGTCCAGAAAAAGGAAAATTACTTTGACATATTCAAAAGATATGTTATCGTAGATGCAAAAAGACAATAGACAGGCTCAGTTCCGGTAAAGGTCAGTTTCCCTGACCTTTGTCAGGGAAAATACTGGCCTAGGTAGGACATGACTACCCACCATAAACTGCTTTTAGTTAAAGTTTTAATTTCAGACCATCCTTTGTGGTTACTTTAGGTCTCTGAATTTGCAAGGCTGAAACACAGGCTTTCCCTGAGCTAGTCAAGTTAACATGTATCCTCTTTTCATCCACACTACAGTTACTAAAAATTCTCTGTATGAATGCTAAGATTGTTGACTTATGTTAAGATATGCCTATAAAGAATTCACAAAGATACAGGTCTGGATGGGGCTGGATATTACCAGGACAGGTCTCTACTGGCCTTCAACACTTGGAGAAGATGCCACCACTGGAGAAGGGAGCCCCTGGTAAGCTGCAGACAAGACATGAGTCTTAACCAAATTTGAGCCAAGATGTTGGGGAGGAAGCTCCTAGGCAAGAAATGTTAAAATGGCAAGAAAGCTCCTCAGTAAGGAATGTTAGAATGGCATTCACTCAGAAAAGACAGTCCAGAAAGAAGCTGGGAAATGAGGAACTCAAAGTACCAAAGCAAGGTTTGTCCTTTGGAGATAGAACCCAGCTAGAAGCTGGGAAATGAGGAACTCAAAGTACCAAAGCAAGGTTTGTCCTTTGGAGATAGAACCCAGCTACAGCCAAAGCAGAGTACTCAAGAAAACGCCAGTGAGTTCTGAGAACAAGCTGTGTTTTATGATAGCAACAGAAATCTATCCCTCAAGTCAGATTGTTTTATATTTCTTATATTTCCTCCCTTGGTATCCAGCAAAGTTCCAGGCATTCTCAACTGTGCTAAGGTGAACCCAAGGTGCAGTTTTATACACTCTTGAGCCTGCAGATTAAAATATTATCAGTCTACCATAGAACCATTGGATGAAAATGGTAGCCCAAATGAAAGAACCCTCTAAAGAAAGGTAAAATGCCCTGGTCAGTGTGGCTCAGTTAGTCGAGCATCATCCCGGGCACTAAAAGGTCACTAGTTCTATTCCCAGTCAGGGCACATGCCCAGGTTTTGGATTTGGTCCCCATTGGGGTGCATACAGGAGGCAACCAATGGATGTTTATCTTTCACATCAATGTTACTCTCCCTTCCTCCCTCTTTAAAAATCAATAAAAACATATTTTTAAAAATAAGTTAAAAAATAAAGAAAGGGAAAATGTAGAGAACAACAAGAACTGTGGAATCTAGCCGCTCTTCCACATCTGAAAATTTTCTTTTCAGTAATGAATCTTAAGAGGTTGTGGCGTTATCTTCTAAAATTTCCTGAAAGAACTTTGTCATTTTCACCAATGTAGTGTGCAAATGTGCTTGAAACACACTAGAAACCCGAATGTTTGTTGATGGAATTAATAAAGTAATGCATGGACTTCCCAAGTTTTAAGGCCACCCATTCCAAACCTTTTCCCACAAATGTATACAACTGTTCACACAATGCTTTATAGGTGATCATAAAATTCATTCAACAAATATCAATCAAATGTCGACAATAGTTAAGATGCTATGCTTTCAGGAACAACAAAAGTAGATCAGTCACTGATACAGTGAATGTTTATTGAGTGCCTACTGTGTGCCAAACAGTATACTAGACCCTAAAGATAATGCAATGAATAAGACACACACATCACTCCAATAAATTCAATTTTAAAAAAAAATGTTTGCCAATCTGATAGGTGAAACATGGCATTTCCTTGTTGATTTTTATCAGCCATTTTTATTTCTTTTCCATGAATTACCCTACATTTTTTCCTCTAGCATTTTTATGATTTCAATTTTTACCATTAAGTTAATTGTACCATTTGGAATCCAAATTAAGAATTAAGGACGACAGAGCTTTATTTTTTTATCCAAACGACTATCTGGTTTTCCCCACATCAATTATTAAAGAATCAATTTCTCTTAAAAAAAAAAAAAAGATGCACACAGTACCTTAGGGAACTTATGGAGAAGATAAATGAACAAGTATCTATAATACTGTTTATAAAAAAATTTTAAATGTTTTCAAAGGTATAGATAAAGGCTATAGGGAGTCAGAGGTCAAAAAGAGAAACCAGGGTTTCAAAAGAACTTATGGGTTATGGGACACTGCCATTCAGGAATGGGATATTACTGTGGTTTAACCTTATAGTCTAGGAATGAAACTACTAGTTTCTAGCTGAAGTGATTAATGGAAATGGCTTTGAAGATTTAGATAAAAATCAATATTCTATCTTCGTATCTTTTATGACAGAAACATTAGATTTTGAAAAGCAAGAATACAGATCAATTCTCCTTTAATGAAGACCATAATCAAATCTTAGCTCTAAATAACAAAGTTATTTTCATGTGTGAGTACAGAAACACAGACTTGTAGATCTGAGTAATAATAAAACATATGTAAAGAATAATCCTGGATTTATGGGTGGGCCTTATTTATTTAACAGGGCCTTATTTATTTAACAGTAACTCTGTAATAAAATAAATTCTATTATTTACATTGTAAATTAGGAAACTAAAAATTAATGTATAGATTTAAAAAATCACATCTTTTTTGTTCTATAATCAAATGAAATTTATTTTTCAGTTTCTTCCATATATGCCACTTTAGCTTCTCCATATACTTTGAATGCACCCCACTAAAGCTGTTTCCTTCCACTGATATTGGAATCAGATGACTTAGGAGCTAGGCCTGGCTCCACCACCAAGTTGCATGAAATTGGATAGGTAAATCCTCTGACCTAAATTTTCTCATCTGTAAAATAAGCTGTTAGTGCAAATAACCTCTAAGATCCCTCTGAACTTAAAAAAAGAGTACGAAAGCCTACCTCTACTCCCAAACCATAAACCAAAGCAAAAAGTTTCAAAACTAACATTAAAGGAACTTAGGTTTAACTACCCTTCTCCTTTTACTTGATTCAGCCAACTTACTTATGAACTTCCTAACAGCAGTCAAGTTGAGCAGTTTCATCTCTAGTAGTTAGACTGGAGAAAATGATGTCTACCCTATATTCCTTTAAAAACAATTCTGGCCAGGCCTGCGTGGCTCAGCGGATGAGGATGACCTAGGATCCAGGAGATCGTGGGTGGGTTATGGTCAGGGCACAAGCCTGGGCTGCAGGCTGGATCCCCAGTGTAGGGCGTGCAGGAGGCAGCCGAACAATAACTCATAATCAATGTTTCTATCGCTCTCTCCCCCTCTCCCTTCCTCTCTCTGAAATCAATAAAGACATATTTAAAAAATAAAAAAATAATAAAAACAACTCGGTGACAAAAGACTTTCTTGGTCCAGAAGCAATCTCTTTCATAGAATTGTGCCTCTATTGAAGAATTAAACACTCATAAGACTTCTTTGTGAGTTTCAAAAGGTCTCCACATCCATGTTCCATTTCAGTGGTGAATTTCTTATGTTTATTGCACACTGCTCGCCACTGGTGTATGTTTAAAATCTTTTCTATTGGATCTGCGTGAAAAAAATATCCATTTGGCCATTTGTATGGAGTATGATGTAGACAAGCACAATATATTCGTCTTTGTTGTACTGAAGAACTATGACATGAAGAGACCTATCAAGCAAATTTTTTGCAGCTACATTGTCTATAAAGACAGTAATAGTTATTCTGCTTACAATTTTAAAGTACTCTACCTCAGCATAATTTGAACTTACATTTAGAAAACCTAACTAAATGTTTTAAGGTTAAAGCTCCTTGTCATACACCTCTACGGTGTTAAATTTTTTCAAATGCTGGCTGATATTATCAAAACAACAATTCCAGAAAATACCATAACTACTATATTCAAGCAGTATTCCTGTGAACATTAGCTTCGTCAACCTAATATCTTCGTATTAACGGACATTAAATTAAATCCTTCTGTCTGAAAAATAGGGGAGAAAATTAACGGCAGAACAACTAGCTCCACTTCTGCAAATTAAGCAAAATTAAAGCAAAAAAGAAAGGAAACAAGCAAAGGGAAGGAACTCAAGAGCTATTTGCAGCACTAGTCCCTTGCAAGTTCTAGGGGCTTCCCTTTAAATTCGAAGAGATAAGAAAAGGACCGCAAAGGAGAGAAGGCACCTCTCCTTTGGACAGGACCTTTCCTTTGGCCAGAAGCCCAAAGTTACTCTTTTCACAGCTTGCAATATTCACTGACTTCAGTTTAAGATGTCTAGCAGATGTGGATTCGGTGGGACTGTCTGGGAGAGTGGCATTTGCTTTCTCAGTTTGGAGCCCTAAGAACTGTACCAAAGTACTCAAAATCCCTGTTATTTTCGCAGAGGCGGCTGGGGGCAGCCTCCTCACGCACACACCTGCAGGGTCGGGCGGCTCCTTCCTCTCCCGCCCCTGCCCTCAGGGCTGGACCAAGGTCCAGTGGCCCGCGTACCAGTTAATCCAAGGGCCACCCAGGCGCCGGCAGGCGTCATCCGGCCCCGGGTGAGCCCAGACCTCGCGACCCTGCCCGAGCTCCGCTTCCCGGAGCAACGCGGCGGGGGCGACGGCGCGCAGCCGGACACCGGCATCACCGGGATGCGTACTATAACAAAAACTTGAGGGAGCACATCTACACTCGTGCCGACGTTGAGCCACAGTCCCCAGCGCAGGTTAGGAGACCGCCGACCAGTCCCGCCCCTCCTCGCGGGACAGAGGGGCAGAGGTCCGTACCTGTCCTCCGAGACGCTGATGACGCCCTCCTCCTTGGGAACGATCACGGCCATATTCACCACCTCCTGGGACCCCTCCACCCGCTGCAGCAGGATCGGCTTGCGGGTCAGGGGCTTGGGCTGGATCTCCGCCGCCATCGGAGGAGGGGGCGCGCCGGGAGCGCCGCTGCCAACCGCGCAGTGGGACCAGGTTGAGGAAATCGCTCTGCCACAAGCACACGCTGAGACAAGGACTCTGGTTGGCCCGAGTGGGACGCTGGGGACCCGCGATCATAGCCTGGCCGCCGCCTCAGGGAACGACTCCGCGCTCCCGGCTTCGGGCACCGAAACCGCCACGATCAGCGCCACAACCCCGCGCCAACGCCAGCGGAGGGGGCGGACAGCTGGGGGGCGGAGCAGGTAAAGGGAGGGGCCTGCCGCAGGGTGTGGCCGCTGGTCGGCTCCGGGGTGGTTGGCTGCACTTCCGGAAGAACGGTGGGGGGGTGGGGCTAAAAAGAGGCGGGGCGCTGGTGGCCCAATTCGCGTGAGTCTGCCCCCTGCTCGTTTCCGCCGGCCCGCCCCGCCCCTCCGCAATTCCCAAATGCGTGCGGCACGGTCCCTAGAACGCATGCGCCTTCCATTCTCTGCCCTTTCCTCCAATCCTGGCCGCCTCCATACCCAACATTTAGTCCCCTCCCTTTTTAATCTCGGGTGAACGCGCGTGTCCACACCCCTGGGAACGCGCTTGACGGAGGCCTCAGCCGTCCCGCCCCAAAATCCTTAAAAAAAAAGGGCAAAGGGGAAAAGGGTGCGTGGGCGTATCCTGAAAGAAGAAGCCATTTGGAAGGAAAAACGCTGGACTAGTTGGGACGTGACTAAGCATGCGCACAGGATACCTGCCCAGAACGGCCTTAACAATGAAGAGCCCGGGGAGTTGGCTTACCTCTTTTAACTCACCGGACCCAGGCCACCCAGTGACACCCCATGGGCTCTTGGGAGCCGTAGTGTCTCCCAGCGTTCTCTCCCTGGCCTTTAAGCGACCTATTGCCCACTTCTCTGCGCTTCTGGCCTGGGGAGCTGAGCTGCCTCCTGGACTGACCTCTAAATGCAGGAAACTGATGCGCAGCCGGGCTGAGCGGGCTGTTCTATGCCCTTGGTTCAGGCCACTGCCCGGGGTAGTGGAACTCTAGGGGTGAGGAAAGAAGAGAATCTCTCGTACAACCATCTTTGAGGGAGTTTGGAGATCATATGTAGTGTCAAGCAACTCATTTTCATACATGTGTTGTAGGCAGTGGGACGGCTAACAGGTGTTAGACTGGTGGGGTCAGACCCGACCTGGGTTCAGCAGCCTGGGTACGTAAGTTCTGGCTAGGAAAGCATTCAGAGCCAAGACTCCAACTATAAGAGAACATTGGTTTACAAAATCACAGAAGTGGAGGAAGGGATTCGTAGAAGAAATGGGCTGAGGAAACAAGTTATAGAGGCAAAGGAAAGGTCCTTGAATATTGGGAGTGAGGAAGGTAATGGTAACTCCCCTGGAAGGGAGGGGAAAGGGAAAGCGAGGGAGTGCTTCTAGGAGGAAGAGGGACTGGGTCCTCAGTCCTATCAGTTTTAAGGGGGAGGAGGGACTGGAGATCTTGATAGAATATTCAGCAACTTTCCAAGTGTGTCCTTTCAGATTTGGGGTCTCCATTGATTGGTTGTAGCTAGAGCAGGGGGTTATTATTCAAGGCAGCTGGTCCTGAGGTTAGCTGTGGCTGGTTTTGGTGCTTTTCTGGGCCTTGGGCTGAAATACAACTGAGGTCTAAATGTTATCTCTAGGGAGGAAGGTCAGGGGGTCCAAACCCCATGACCAGGGATTTGCTAGGAGAGGAAAGGTCACCCTGGGAAGAGGTCCCACCTTACAGTTGATGGTTGCTAGGCACCTGGGGCTTTCCATCCTGATGGCCTGCTGTACCTAGCCTCTCCCCTTTACCCTGCTCCTGTCTAACTGCTTGCCACAGATGTGTTATAGAATAGTAAGACGCTAGGAAAATTCCAGAACAAGCATAATAGGGAAACTAAGACAGTCAAACATTAATGTAGAGCCACCTAGTAAATCCTATCTTCCCTAAACCAAGGATACTTAAGAGTAAATGGTTTGCACTTCGCCACTCCAACCAGAGGGTAAGTAGCTTAAAGCATCCTACTTAGGGAGACAGCAGAAATCTAATTCGTGCCGTTTAGCAACCACACCCAAGGACAGACAAATCAAGAGAATAAATCTCATCTTGGTATGTCTGCATAAAGCTCCTGAATATTCTATTGATCTGCCCTTAAGACCTCCCCTAAACACCCACACTTTATTTTTTTTTTAATCCTCACCAAAAGATATTTTTTCCATTGTTTTTCTGAGAGAATGGAAGAGAGAGAAACATCAATGTGACAGAGACACATCGATTGATTGCCTCCTGCACTGGGGAGGCCGATTGAGCCTGCAGCCGACGTACATGCCCTTGGCCAGAATGGAATGGGGGACCCTTCAGTCCCGGGGCCGACGCTCTAACCACTGAGCCAAACCAGCTAGGGCTAAATGCCCACACTTTAAAACCTCTGAAAATGAAGGCCCCAAGGGGCTCTCCCTCCATGGAGCCCTCCCTTGCCATTCCCTTCCCCTTTCCTTCCCCCATAGGCACTTATCCCCTAACCCTAAGGGATCCCATGATATTTTTGCTACGGTCAGTAAATTCTTGCTTGCTTTTCTACACTTTGTCTCTTGATTGAGATCTTTCCCTCAAGAAGACAAGAACTGAGGTCAGATGGTTAAGCTATTAGCCCAAGTTTACCTTAGCTCCAAGTTAGGGCAATAGCCTCCCCACCCCCCAAAACTTGAACCCAGGCCCCACTGCTCCTGGTTCTGACTTCTTTCCATTCCCCATCAATCCAGCCTTTCTAGCTTGCTCCAGAGACAATGGAGTTATTGTGATTATGTTACCAAAAAGGGGACCTGTCCCTGAACTGGTCTGCCTAGGGCCAGCCGGTAGTGTGTGGGTTCTTAATTTGGTGCAGGAAAAATTTTACAACATGAGTCAAGGTGAGTTTTACAGGACGTTTATTAAAGCTGGGGACAGTGAAACAAGAAAGGGCTGGAAAAATGAGCTTACGCTGGTCTGCTTTGACTCACTAAGAAGTCAGAGAAAATGGGGCCTTTGGGGATGGGTTCAGGGGTTTGTTGAACTGCCACTGCCTATTGCTGCCCTGGTTGCAAACCTTGTAGGGGGGTCCCTTAGAGTTTAGGAGATGCATGCCTCTGGAGGAAGAAGGGGGAGAGGTGTGGGCATGCTCCTGGGAGGGAGAGCAGGTACTGGGACCTTCGTTTTGAGGGGTTTTAAAGGCTGGACATAAAGAGGTGATCTTAGGGGAGGAGATCCTGATGATGTACCAAAGTGAGGTTTATTCTCTTATCCTCTGTCCTCGGGTGTGGTTGGCAAATGGCACTAATAGGATTTCTGCTGTTTTCCCTAATAGGATGATTTAAGCTATTTACTCTCTGGTTGGGGAGAAGTACAAACCTTTTACTCTTAAGTGTCCTTGGTTTAGGGAAGACAAGATTTACTAGGTGGCTGCAAACTACTGTTTAACTGTCTCAATTTCCCTACTCTGCTTATTCTGGCTTACTGTCCTGTCTCACAAAGAACCTCTCTCAAAGCACAGTGCAACTCTTTACCACTTTGTCATTGCAGAAATTCTTGAAGGGCCTTGAATGGGTGATTGAGGTATTTTCCAGCTTTGTGAAATAAAAGCATTTTATTTTTAAAATAAAACTTAATTTTATTTATAAAAACAAAGCATTCCACTTCTCTAAGCCTCAGGCTCCCCATCTATCAAGTGTAGGATAATAACACCTACCTTGGGTGGTTGTTGTGAGGCTTACAAATGACATATTTAAAGTGCCTTCATGCACAAGGTTTAGGGCATTAGGACACAGACATACTTGGGGGGCTATTTTTCACCCTACCACATTGGTTTTAAATACCATCTGTATGCTCCTGACTGCTGTCAAACAATAATCCTTGGCACTAATTCAACACCAACAGGAATCCCCAATATGGGGTGTGGTGAAGAAGGAAACTATGCAAAGCAAAAACAGCTTAATTGTGACACAACACAGAAAACAGCAAGGCTGTAGAACAGCTCAGTTGCCACACCACACTGTTAAAAACAGCACAGCTGTGAAGCTTCCCCAGGAGCCAGACCCCTCTCTAGTTAGCTTTCTGCTCCTTGGTGGTCTGCTCTGCTTTGCTTCCAAGAGCCACCTTTGGTGTTTTAGTGCAACCAGGGAAATGGAGTCTTTAGTCTTCAATGGAAAACCTCAGAGCCTGAGGGGAACTGGCTAATATAGGAAGAAATTCCCACCCCTGTCCCACTCACTGTCCTGATTGGTCAGAATAGGCCTATTCTGGTTGGTCAGAACTGAGCAGCTCCCATTGAATGGGGAAAGCTTTAGTCCTATTGTTTGAAATAGGATTCCAGGAACTCCTCTATAATGGCTGACTCAGTGGCAGAAACCAGTGCAGGCAGGCAGTTCAGTGCAGGCTTCTCTTTGAAGTGCAGTTTGCATGAAAGGCCCCTGGGCAGAAATGTCTACTGGGCTCTGTGTTTTAAAATTTGAGCCCAGTTAGCCACCAGGAGCCCTTCTTAGTAGTTATAGTTTTGTCCCTCAGGGTTTGCACTCCCATATCCTTACCTCTACCCCTGACCTCAGCACTGAACTCCAGATTCATATATCTAATGTTCCTATGCTTTGTTATTTAACTGTTTAATAGGTGTTCCAAATATTCCCAAACAGTATCTTTATGTTTTTTAATCCTCACCGGAGGACATGCTTTTATTGATTTTAGATGTGAGAGTGAAACATTGATCGGTTGCCTCCCACATTGTTCAAAACTAATTTCCTAGGAGTTGTTCTTGATTTTGTCTTTTTTCCTCACAACTCATACCCAAATCATTAACAAATCCTATGTGTTCCACCTCCAAAGTATATCTTCTATTTTCTCATTGAAATTATCTTTACCACAGTCCAAGTCATCATAATCTCTGGCCTCCACTACCACAGTAGCTAATTTCTTTCCCTACTCCTCTCTTTCAGCTCTACCCCCCAAACTCATACAATCCATTTTTATCATAGTATCCAGAGAACTTTGTTTTAAAATATCAACCGGATCAGTTACACTTCTGCTTAAAATGCATCAGTGGCTTGCCATTGCACTTGGGATAAAATGTCTCTCCAACTGTACCTCTCCTGCTCAATACTCTCCAAGCCCTGGCTTGGAAATTCCCCAGAAACACCAACCTTCTTCGCACCAGCTCTGTTCACCTCCTGGCTACTT